CAGGCATGACATGAGGAAGGAGGAGGAAAGTCCTGAAGTGACAGGACAGGCAGCTGGCATGTGGCTTTTCCCCTCATTTTAACCAGCAGTGAACCCGTCAATGAAAAAAAAACAAAAAAAAAAAGAAAAGAAAAAAAGAGTGCTGTGTTTATATAAAAGCTTTCTGAAACTAACTGTTCCAGAAAGTCAATGCTGACATGAGAGTCTGGATCACCTTACAGGAATTTCAGGGAAACCAAGAACTTCTTATCTACATTTCTGTGGTGTGGTTTGCACTTTGCCAGTCTGCTGAGGCTATCGTTTCATAGTTGCAGGTACATCTTCTCACTTAGGGAATCATGTTGGTACATCCTGGGGGAGGTTTAGGATTTTTTTTTATTAATTGCTTTAAAGTGTATGTCAAGAGACGTTTCAGTGTTTGAAGAGTCGCTATTAAACAACTTTTTCAGAACAGTTATATGCTAGTGAATTGCAAGTAAATCTGTACATCTACTGTTCAAAGTGGCAACATCAGTGGTGGTGAAGGACTCAAAAGAGGTAACAGCTCTCTGCTAGGAAGAAGAGTTAATGGTCTGTAACTTGCAAAAGAAAATCCAAATTTTTGCAATAGTTCATAGAAGTCACTATAGTAAAGGAAGGCATAACAGGAAGGCCTCTTCTCTTTTCCTAGCGGTGTGAAATTGAAACCAATTTTTCTGCCTTTCATGTTTGTTTTCTTATATGCTAGAAAGTGTAACCATAGTTGTTCTTTTATTAATCAGTGTTTCCTGGAGAGCAGAAAAATGTCTCCATGAGTCCATAGTAGGCAACTAAAAATTTGTGTTATCACCATCACTGTAACAAATGGTAAAATTAAGTGGTTGACAGGTCAAGTCATTGCTGTTGCTCTTCCCTGGATGACGTTCGTTTGCTTTTTGCCTTGTTAAGGCTGCTATGGGGGGGTCATGCTTTTATTTGTGTGTTGAACAAACTAATGCTTACAAGCAGTGGTGGTTTGGTGAAGGAGGATGCTGGAGGTGAGTGATGCCAAATGATTACTTTGGGATGCCAAGACTTGAGATGCCACATGAAATCTGGAATGTCTCTGAAGTGACTTCTGAAGTGGGACTCTTACATGAGATCTTTTTTCTTACTTTCCTGTATTTTTACATGTTGTTCGAATTAGATTTTTTTACTTGGGTTTACATGCCCTATCCATCTGGGAGCAATTAGGACTTAAAACTGTCCTCTGAGAAACTTTAAGTTAGGCTTTTATTCACTAGAGGTATGCAGAGAGAGTAGCTTTGTTTAGCTGAGTCACATTTAAGAGCTTCAAGGTTATACCAAATCAGCATCTTCAGAGTCATGTAGTCCAGAAACTTGAAGTCTGTGAAGTCAAGCTGTGGTACAAAAGATCCTCTGATAGGAGCACAGGTAGCCAAAACTGAAAGATGGCAACAATGCGGAATACCTGAAATTGTCTGGCACAGATTGTGAAAACTCAATTTGCCTTTCAGCCCCAGCACCTTACTCTAGTAAAGGCACTGCATGTTTGTGCCCAGGTGAGAGATGCAGTGATGCAGAGGTTGTTGGTATTGCTGTATCACTCCTAAATTGCAGATAGCTTTTACTGTGCAAGAAACTGGGAGAGAATAAAGGAAATAATTTTGGTCATTGTAATGGATTTTCTGGCAGTAGTTCTTTGAAGATTAAGTTTTTGTGATACATGATTGCATTTCTCCTAACAACTCCAAGTAACGACAAAACTCTATGGTTCCTCTTTTCTGTGGTCTCAGACAGCTGATCCAGAAATCATGATGCTTAATCATAGCATGTCAGAGAGCAGTATGTTCTGTTTGGTGAGGTTGTATTCCTCCTCCGTGTGTTAGATACACGCTGCTCTGTCAAGCATCATCTGATCTTTTTTTTTCTTTCCCCTCAGTTGACCAAAAACTCAATATGTTACCATAAATTACTGTCTAAGTATTGTAGTGTATGGTGAAACCTCATTTCTCAGAGATGAGTCAACTGAACAGAGGATAAGAAATTCTATGATCTTCACTGTATTGATTTTAGATACAGATCCAACATATTTCCTCAGTTTGCAGTTCTCTAGATGCACTCAGTACAGAGAGCAACATCTGTCAAGAGAATACCATGTAGGGTGGTATTTGCCTGCAACACCTGCAGTTATAGTATTTGGGAATGATATGCGTGAATCTGCTTCAAAATTTGGGTATTTTTTTCAACACTTTGTAGTGCAGCAAGCCATCAAAATCTCATGAGTAAGAAGCCTCTCCTGTGCTTCTGTGTTCCAGACTTTCTTTTTATTATAGTTTACGTTTTCTGTCATAATGGCCTTTAGTGAAGTTCATTTGAGGATCCTGTTCCCTTTATTTGCAGTTCTTGAAAAACGAGGCACGCCCTGAACTCGCACAGGTATTAAGTTAGGAGCCACCTTTGTTCACTTGAATGGAGTCAGCCTGCTTTTGCACTGCTGTAAAAGCACAGTTCCCTCTGCTCTTTATTATTGCTGAAGGAGATGACATGGGCTGGGAGCAGGGGGAGAGTCTTTCTGTACAGTTCAACCTATTTTCAGCTGGAATGCTTTTAGGAGCCTAACCTGTTGGCAGAAAGTCTTAACCATTGTGTACGTTGTGCTCAGGAGGTTGAAAAGCAAGGTGTGTGCAGAAGACCCTTCCTATTCCTAGCCAAAGTGAGGGATCAGTGCAATATAAGTTAAAAAAATGCAGCTAGGTGCAGAAGGAAAAATGTGAAATGGTTATAGACTTATGAATTTTTACTAATCCTCCATTTTCTGTTGGAGAGATGGTGAAAAATTACTACAGGAATATTTCTTCTCTCATCTGTGTTAAAGTGCTCATTGGATTTTGTAGGGTTAAGCTTTTCCTGATACAGGTGTTCTACCTGGAGTAGCTAAAGGCTGAGCAGACTTAAGATTTTTTTTTTTCTTAGTTTTTATCTTCTGCTCTATGATGCTCCCTAGTAATAATGAACATTTTATCTCCTTTTCTCTCCTGTGGCAAACAGGATTCTAAGCATACCTCTGGTTTTGGTCTAGATGGTCTTCCCTAAGGTTTTCCCCATCTTCGTTATCCAAGAGCAGCAGTATTTCCAGATAAAGAGAAAATAATAAGTTTTAAAAGAAACTAACAATGAGCTGCTGTAAAGTAAGTGCAGTAACACTGCTGCTCTTAAGCATGTTTTAAGAAGAACAGAAACAAAGATCTTATTTAAGTTACATTTGTGACAGCTCATGAGACAGTGATGAAATGTGCTGGTTAAGGATCTTGAGGCTGGTGATGGAGTTTTACTGAAAATCACTCTCTTCTTGGTCAAACGGCAAAGTTTCCCTAAGATAGAAAAGCAGTAGTTTCAAATTAACACTATCTGTTTTCTTTATCTGTCATGCTAAGTGGAAAAATTACTGTATTTCAGAAAACAGGCAAAAACTATTTTTGAAAAGAAAACAAGAAGCCTGAAGGATGTGTAGCTTGGTTCTCTGACTTCCAGTGAATGCTTTATTGGAGGAATGTTAAATCTCCATTTTCTGCACTCTCCGTGAGTATAGTAGTAGAAATTTGGAGCAAGGAGTGGAAAGAATGAAAGGTTACTAGCAAGAAATGCGTAGGAAAGAATAGGGGTCACTGGAAAGCTATATAAAGATATACAAAGATGGAAAAAGTGATCCAAAATCTTGGAAGATCAGACAGCTACATGTGATGTAAGGCATGCAGAGATGTGTTGAAATGTGTATCAGGCATTTCAAGACGATGCTTTTTAAGAAGGAGGACTCATTTCCACAGTGGTGTGCAAAGGCTGAGTTTAAATGAGCACCACAAAAAAAAAAAAAAAAAAAAAAAGACATAACTGACTCAGAAAAGCATGTGGATTGCAACTTTCTGACAGCACTTACCTGTTTTTTCTTGGATTGGTAAGTGTTGCCTTTGAAAAAAATGAATTAGAGGCCAGGGAAGTTACTAGCATTGTCTGTATGACTACACCAGAGTCTCAGTTTGAAAAATACCAATTAGGTTTGGGGTCATTTTTGGTCTGTTTGTTGGATGTGGACTATACTTAGCACGAGTGATTCTCTCTCTGAATCTGCTGTGATTTACAGAATAGGAAGTGGTAGATAGAGCAATAAGGTTTGCTAATTTGTGGGTTGTGTTGTACATGTCTGGCCTGACTGGGAAAAAAAACTGCAGTAGTCTTTGTCTGGAATTTTCATATGGGCTTAATTTCTTGCCCATTTACAGTTTTTTCCCCTTCTGTTTGGTTTTCTTTGCATAAAATAATAGAAACATATGCAGAAGTTTATCTAACCTTGATAAACATGATCATTATGGAACTGACTTTATTCTGCTGGATCATCTGATCAAAATTTACATGGCATTTCAGTATATTCACCTACCACAAATCTGTGCCTATCTGTAAAAAAAAAAAAAAAAAAAAAAAAAAGTATGGTTAAAATAAATCAAGGATAAGGATGTCATAATGTTTAAGTTGTTTTTCGTAACCCAGAAGAAAAGTTCATGTGACCACTGAACTGTAAAACAATAGTTGTCAAGGAAATAAACTTATCCTAAATTCCAGCAAGTAATTCTATGAGTACTCTTCTGAACATTGTGGGGTTTTTATTGTTTGGTTTGTTTTTTTTTTTCCTTTGGTGTGGAAAAAAACCCCGTTAACACAATTCTAATGCTCTGTAGGTGACCATCTTTCCTTGCAAATGTGTATATGGTCCATGCATTAGCCTTCTTGCTGTACTCAGCTTGTGTGAATGCTAGTTTGTGGTTGAGCTAATTGTCTTGCTGTTCTGGACCAAATTCCAATGTGCCCTTTGAAACTTCTCCTGCAAATCTGTTGTGAATGGCCATGTAAGCAAGTTGGAGTTGTGCAAACTCGCAGGCTGGTTTTGCAGCAGCCGAGGGGCTTGGGTGTTGACTGAATACCCAGTTCTCTTGTTATTCTCAACATTTTTTCTTTCTTCCTACTAGGACCAAATGCCAGCATGACTAGGGTCTGAGGAGGTGCTTCTGTGTTCCTACCAAGGGTTTGCGGGTGCAGAGGAAGGGTGCAAGGACAGCAGGGACATTTTGAGCCACCATGGATATCCCCACTGATTTGGTGCCATCCTCCATGATGTCCCAACCTGAGGTGATTGAGGTGAGTAGACCACGAAGAAACTCTGGCAGCTGAACTGACCAAACCTCTTCTTATTTCCTCATTGAATCCTATCTTTTTCTCCTGTCTCAATTCTGAGTCATGGAGGGAATTTTTCCTGAAATATTATATTAAAAATTGTCATAATTTGCTAGGAATATTCTTATACTTTGAGACGTGACATTCTAGTGCTATGCTGCTATTTGTAGAAGAAAATATATGGCAAAATAGGATCTTTATTGACTCCATGTAGGTGGTCTCTGCATTATGGTGTTTTTTTTTACTGTGCCTAATGAATACAAAGTAGAAAGCAGGCATGATGTGGTTCAGTTGGAATAATACCACAGGGAATTTCAGGTTCAGTGTTTTTATCAGGAAAGTTAAAGTTTAAAGCCAAAAGCAGCAATAAAATTAATAATATACTTAAAATTACTAACACACTAATCTTGCTTTCATGAATCAAAGTATGTGTTTCAGGCTTGGTACTTATAAATACTTAAGTGATTTCTTCAGTTCCATGTACTGAACACAAAGTGCTTGTGTTTGGTGAAGTAAGTATTACAAACAGAAAAGGAGATGTTAGTTAACAGTCAAGATTTCCTCTCAGAAAAGCATTTTCAGAATCCCTTTGACTTCATAGAGACCTAAGTGTCTGTTACAACTTAAAACTTTAAAGGATATATATTTTACTGAAGAGGGTACCACAATTGATTAAGGCAGATGTCAGAAAATTTGAGACCTGATGTTTATTTTGCCTTTTTTTTTGTTTTGTTTTCTGGAGATTCTTTAGCTCAGGAGGCTACATCTCTTAGCACTGAGAAGTGCAGTAGTTCAGAGATCCCTGGAGTCTGTTAAGTTACAAAAAACATGTCCACTAATGGGTAGTGATGTGAAATGAGCTGAATCCAGAATTTGCTATTGAGATATGTCCTGTGCTCCTCTTCTTCTGTGTTTCAAACGGAGAACTAGTATATTTAAAAGTATTTTTGTTGCTTTTCAAGTCTCTGTCCCTGTTAGGAGACCTTATTAAGGTCAGAGAAGGATTTTGAGTCTTTACAGTAGAACAAAATACCGGGTAGGAGGTGGATGCTCAGTCCGTCCCAGGCTGCCTGGCTCCTGCTGAACTCTTCTCCCTTTCTGCAGAAAGGTTCCCCAGGCCATCTCCTTGCATGCTCTGAAAGGCACTTGTGCCTCTGTCTCCATGGTTTCTCTCTTAAGAGCCTTCTTTATGTGTGAGAAATTTGTGTATCTAAGGATTGCTGTTCTGGAAAAAATGCCTTCTTGAAGGGAAAATAAGCTCAACTGTGTTGTAAAAAATGAGTGGAAAAAAAGATATCACTTGTAAAAGACTTCATGATTAGCATAGTCACCATTCTGTTGTACTTACGGGTGAATAAGCATACGTGTCCTGTGGCTACAGGGAGTTTCTGCTGAATAAATCCTGTCCTGGACTTGCATTGCCAGACCAAAGACTAGAGATAAATGCATGATTTTGGTCATCAGCTGGCAATCCAGATAGCTCTCCCTCCATGCTTGGGTTTTAGCAACTGTGCTTCAATTAGATTTGACCTGGCAGATGAAAAGAAATGGCAGAAAGAAGCAAAAGAAAGACTTATCTCAGTGTGGGAGGTTATGGTAGAAAAATGTCGTTCTCTGAACCTCATGATGTATAAACGGACTCAAATTTGATATCTGTGTGGGCAGACTTACATGCACACGTGAATTCCCACAGATTTCAGTAAAGCATTGTGGATCTGATGGTTAATGTAAGGCTTCAGTCCTATGTAAAAGGAGTAACAGCTCCGAACAGTGAGCTGGGAGCCATGTGTGTGTTTGTGAGGGTTAAGGAAGAGCTTTTTTAACAGGACCTAGCAAGACACATAGCTAAAGAGACAAATCATTAGATGAAGTGTTGCAGTAAAGCACTTTTCAGGTTGGGACTGCATGGGCTTGCTTTTCACTTTTGTGTTGACATACAAATGAATTTAGGTACAGTTTAGATAACTATATTCATTAAAATACTTTTTTTTTTCTGGAAGACATAATTTTGCCTTTTAAAGCTGAGCAGATGCCACAGTGTGCTGCAGAAGACATTTAGAGACTAATGTTTTAAGGAAGGGTTTTTTTTTAAACTTGGAAGAAGACTTGCATGCCTTCTGCATGAGTTAGATGGCATCTGAGTTACAAAAGTGGTGTTTTGCTGCTTTACTTTAAACTTTGTATGTCTTTAATCTTTTTTCATCTTTTGTCTTTAAACTTTCTTTTAGCATTGCCAGGATAGTTGGTTTCCTTCACACTGGTCAATTTAGTCTTGGTAATAAATATTATCTATTTTGTATATATGTGTATGTATATGTACATTTGTGTATAAATCTCACTAATATTCCTCTGCCTATCATCAGTCCTTTAACAGCACGCGGCAAACACGAATAGACTCTTACCACAGGGGAGAATCACAGGGAGCTCAGCAGGACCTTTTGCAACCTGAAGCCCACCCTGTCAGGTTTTTGCTTGGACTTGAATCCTGTGGATGCTTGTGGTGGCACCACAGTGAGGGAAGTTCCTGCTAACTTAATTGCAAATGGTATCTTTCTCAAGATTTGTCTTTGGGTCAGCTAACAGAAGAGTCACATTTTGGAAAGGTTTTTGAAAGTCACTTCTTGATACCAGCTGTGAAATTGTAGTTAGTGTTTTAACATATTCTAATTGCTAGTGTGCCAACACAGGAACTGATTTAGGTGCTCTCTACAGAAGCAACACATTTTTCGCAGTCATGTCTCTTCATACCTTCCCTATGCCCTGACCTGTCTGAGCTCTCTGCTCCCATCTACTTCCCCCCCGGCCCCAGTATCCTATTACCAGATGTACGAAGTGGTGATTAAGAGCACAGATTTAAGGCATCTTGGTCTGGTCATGTTCAAATGTGAAGGATAAGTAAAGTTTCAGGGTAGCTTAGTTATCCATAGCTGAAATCTGGGATAGAAAATAGTTCTGGGACACCATTCATATATGAAAGAAGTCAACGAAATGAAAAATTTCCACAATATATATCCTTTGAGTTTTTGGCAATGGGGTTTTATTGTAAGGCAGAATCTAGTGATTTTAGATTAGATAAGCCATTCTGCTCCTAAAGAGGGAGAAACAAAACATAACAGAACTTTTTGATTTTTAAGTTGGGAATATTTTTTGGTACATGTGAAGACTTTATGCCTCAGCTATGTATAAGCAAAATTATATCATAGAAACCTGATTAGTCTGATAATGCAGTAAGCAGAAAGTTAAATAATTCAGTAAGAAGCATTTAGTATCCCAGAGGGCTTTGCTGTTTGCAGAACAGAAACATAGCAAGTAGTGATTGTCACAGATACAGTTACAATTTAGCTACAACTTAAAGGTTATTTATGGTGTGAGGTAAATCAAAGGTTAAATTTTAGCAGCAGTCAGCCATAAGCAATTTAATAATTAACAAAGTGATTCAGTAGAATATGTTATTATTAAAATACCAACTTAATTGCAGATTCGAGAATTATAAGATTCATAATAACTTACTACAAGGTATCCTAAGTACATAAACAGAAAACACACAAACAAACACACAAACACCGCAGAAACACTTGGATCCAGTGAAATATCTAAGTAGGGAAACTAGTCAAAAGTTCCCTCTTCCTTCTCAAGTTTTGAGTAAATATTCACAATGCATTGGCATTCCTTGATGGGCCTCGAGAAGTCAGACTTTGCCCTGGCCTTTCTTTAATTTCACTGACAGATGCTCCTCAAACCTCTTTGGTCTAAGGAGGCTACACCTGAGAGGTGTCCCAGCTCGGGGAAGATGCTGGATGCAGCCCACTGTGACCCAGGAGAACTCAAAGGGTCTCCCTTGGAGTCACTATTTATGGGGTCTGAGATAATTGACCTTTGTTAGGTACTTTTCCATTTCAGCCCATCTAAGATGATGTAATGTTCTGGTGCATTTCACTAGTTACCAAACCCCTATTCAGGCTTTAACCTAGATACAAATATACAGGATTGTGGAGACAATGGATTATTCCTGTTGTTTCCAGTAATGGGGAAAGCAGGAGTCAGGTATGTTAAGGGGGTAACTCAACGCTCAGGTTCACTGCCATAATGGAGAGCAGGAGCCATGCACACCAAGGAGGTGCCTTGACGCTTGGGTTCACCGCTCTCACAGTTCATTACTGACTCACCCTTGGTTGGTATATGAACCAGGAGGGGAAGAATCTCACCAAGGGACTCAGGAGAGTGGAGGGGCTGCACAATCACAGTTAACTAAATTGGTTAATGTGCTCTCTGGAGTGATTAGTATCTTCTCCCTTTGTGAATGGCATGACATGTATTCTGCAGTAAAACCTTTGAAGAAGAAATTATTTGAGCTCCAGTTGCTTAATGAACCAGGGACTTCCAACAGTGCTTCAGAAATGCTTAAAACAAGGAAACAACAAAAATTCATCATTCTCGCTTTGCTTTTGCCAGCAGTGGATCCTGCCAGCCAAATACGAGCAGTAAATGAGTACACTTAAATGCCTTGAAGCTGTTCCAAAGAGAAATACAGAGCAGTTTCCATTATAGTGGCTTTTCATGGCTGTGTGGTTACCACAGCCAAAAAAACACTTCTCCCACTCTGTGCCATTCAGTACTTCTCTGTTTTCCCTTGGTTTTGTCTGAATTAGAGTGGAAGAGATTTAAACTATCCTTGCCACAGAATGGTTATCCTCACTAGCTTTTTCCTCTTTATAAGATGCTTGAGAACAGACTCCTGTGGGGTGGCACAGCTGTTGTCACCCTTTTCCCCAACAAAGCCCAACGCGATCTGCTTTTTGAATGTGGTGCTTAAACTTCTGTAGCCAACAAATGTGCAGATTCCTCCCCCCCCCCCCCCCCCCCCCTTCTAGGTGAGTAAACAAATTAAAACTGTACCAAAACAGATGTCAGGTAGTGGTAGATAAGGTAAATGAGAGAACAAAAGGAAATGGTGAGACTGTAAG